TGGCTACTTATCTCGTTAATTAATCAATATTTAAAAATCATCCTTCTCTCGGAGACTTGGTTGGCGCATTCTTTTGTAGGAAACTTGTACAGACAAAGGGCGCCGTTATAAAGGGGAAGGAAAAAAACGAAGGAAAGTAAATAAATCACAAAAACGCGCGCTCTTTAAAAAAAAAAAACATCGGTGCAAGACATCAATTTGAAAAAAAAAACTTTTTTTTTATTACTAGAAATATTCTTTTTAACGTTTCCACACTTATCTCATCTCTTTGCCAGTGCCCCGAAACCTGTCGCTCGAATGATTTTTCTCACCCGCCGAGCTGTTCCTTCTCTCACAATCTCAACAGGACGACCAGTTTGCTCCTCGTCAACTATATTTGAGCTCCTTTCAGAGAAGTTCTCAGCGGAAGGTTTGCATCGTTTTACGCGATAAACACTTCTCACCGAAAACTGGAAACGTTTCCTCTCGTATATCTTTTGTAAAAATTCATTTTGCCCATGCGCGCGCGCACACACACACACACACACACACACACACACACACACACACACACACACATACACACACACACACACACACACACACACACACACACAAAAAAAACGCTAACAGCATATTTTTTTTTTTTTTTTAGCGTATACTCCTCGAGCACGGTCGCCAATTTTAAACTGAGCTACACGTACGACTGTTACCCAGTTACTGCGCGCTGAATACCATGAAGCTGGAATTGTGTTGCCGCCTTTTGGCATACTCGTAAACTAGTCACTACTTTTTTATAAGTTATTTTATATCCGTTTGCAATTTGCTTACTTTCCCTCGTAGTAACGATCACAAGTAAGCAAATTACTTGTAATGACTAGCGTACATGTCTGTTTTGGTGTTCTATTCTTACTTTGTGATCGTGCTCGAACTTTAGATTCGTGTGAGTGAAGTGAAGGGTACGCTTCGAAAAAGAACGACTGCTTGCCTATGGCTGTTCAGACTTTGAAAAATATATTACCAAAATAATTCACAAAACGGTCGACCATCTTTAAAACGTTCGATTAAAGTTCGATCCCGAAAGATCAAATAGAAAAAAGAAAAAAAGACTACGCGTGGAGAGCTTTGTTGTGTTCCCTGGTTGGTCGATGCATTTGTGGTGCACATTTTGAGGAATCAGGGGAAGATTTTTGTCCCTCGGCGATATATCCCTCTGCGCTTGACCTGTCCCACGACCCGTATTCAACACTTCTACAATACCCTCAGTGGAGCTGATATTCATGCTTTTAACCCAAATTTCGTAGCTTTTAAGAATTTTGTAACTAACCTGTGAACATCCTGTTGTTCATCATTATCAAGGCATGAAGCTCTTCATGAGAACAGAAAATAAGCAAATGAATGACTGAATGAATGAATGAAAATGAATGACAACAAATTAAGAGTGTAAGGAAGAAAATCAGTAATCCTACGACTTTCACTACCAGGACTGCGTAAGTTAATTACGTAAAGCAGACAGTCAATCGTAATACGTCTTGTAAATATATCACTTCCCGGAAAACTTTCATTAGCTCCTAAAATTAATCTGTCGACGGCTTTTTTTTTATAATGTACGAGCCACTTTTCCTTTCACCTTCATTTCGTCCGTAAAATAAACGGGAACGTGAACGCCCTCGAGAAGACAGGGCATGGAGCATTGCCAAGCGAAATACTGAAGCCAGCCTCGAGCTGAGTTCCAAAATCCACGAGTGCTGCATGGATCAGTTAAGATACGAGGGCAAGACGAGTGAAAGCTATCGGATAATTTTGTTTTTGACGGATTTTTTGTGGTGTGTATGACTATCTTTTTGCACCCCCATCTAAAAATAACGTATGACCTCAGAAAGAGTCGTGCCGAACGGGAAACACTCGCAGGTTTCTTAAGCGGCTTTCCGAGCTCAACCCTGAATCACAGGTACGTAGAGGCCAGGCTACGTAGAAGCGCTCTGCGAACCCCCCCCCCCCCCCCCCCCCCCCTCCGCTAGGCGACGCTAATCAGCAGGAAGGTTTTTAATCAATCCCTGAGCCGCGAGGGAGCAACTCAAGGCCAACTCAGCGGTGCGTCCGCTCCATACGAGAGTCCTGGCTTCTCTTCGTCTCTCTCTCTCCCCCCCCCCCTCTTTTCTGCCATCCGCCAGTCAAAAACATAAAAGACTAACCTAATGGCCTGCACAGTGTCACCTTGGTTTGTTGCCCCCACTCCAACACTGCATCCTCTAAAGAAAACAACAACAAAAAAACAATAAAGAAAAAACAATAGCGAAATGGAAAGCTGTTTTCGAAGCAACAAGCTGAGCGCCTCCCGCTGCTCTGCAGAACCAGCTCGAGGTGGAAGGAGAGATCGGCCAACTGCCGGGAGAAACTTGTTTTTCCGGACCGGCTGGGCACGGTTCTGGCGTGTGACCTTGGCCTTGACTGGGAGAGCCGTCGCCATTTTTGGGCCAGTGGGCCGAGGTTGGTCGCGGAGGGAAAGGGCCGTTTCCGTTGAACGTTTCGCTCGGCCGCTCGCAAGCAGGCAGCTCTTTCTCTCTCTCGCTCGCTTCCCGCCTCATCTCACTGCCGCGCGTGACTTCTGGAACAGCTCCACTATCATCTCCTGCATACCCTGCTTTCTTTCCATCTCAGACACCCTTCTTCTTCCAAGCTGAAAAAAAAAAGGAGTGCCAGCAGGGCACGGCCACCGAAAGGATGGCTTCGGGTTCGCAGACACACAGCAAGCATGGCCTGGTAAACGGAGAGCCAGAATTTGTTCGTTTCGTTTGGTTGGGATCCGAGCTGTTTTCACAGCTGCGTGCTGGTTAGTTTGTGATCGTTTGGACCGCTGTCCTGTTGCTGCGGCTGCTGCTGCTGATGTTGCTTTAGGGGCCTCTGTCAAGATCCCCCCCCCCCCCCCCCCCCGTCTGTCCGCGCCCTGAGTAAACAATGGCGGACGATGAGAGACTGGAGCTCCAGGAGGGCGGGGAGGGGGGGGGGGGGCATTGCGTAAGTCTCGGTTCTCTCTTCGTACCCCCTCCCCCCCCCCCCCACACACACACACACACATACGCGCACACAACCAGCGACCAGTTTCATCCCTCCGTGATCGCGGGGTGCCAAAAGAGTTCTCGCCGCTTGCAGTCGGTTCTTTTGGGCGCGCCCAAGGGCGGGGACCCATGTTTACGTAGATCGTTCTTCATCCGTCGCTACCCCCGGCGTTGGGAGCGCTTATTCCAAATTTGGCTAACACGGCGATTCATCAATTGCCGGGGAGGCTTATCGCTGGCGAAGCACGCTTTCCTGTGTTCGCGGGAAGCCGAGTTGAAAGAGGTTAGTGCGCACGAGAGGAATTCAGCTGATTTTTACTGCCCGAATGCAGCTTGTATCGGTTCCTCGTGGCCCCTACCGAATTTGATGGGATAATTGAATTGCTCTATTTAGGTGTATAAATGAGGAAAGCATAATGATTCGCGTAAAGGGAAAGTTCTTTTGACTTTCTTATTCGACACTAAAATGGGCGTAGGGATACTGGGAGAAAATATTTGAGTAGTAAATACTTCAGGGAACTTAGCTTCGTTTGCCATCAGTTTTCGAACGACAGTGTCGTCAAATATGTCCTCTGATCACGACCAACACGCCTCTAGTGTCGCGCGTGGAACAAAATGTGTGCTCGCGGTCAGCCTTTTTTTGCCGTTTTGTTGGGTCATTTCAGAAATATACTAATGCATTTCAATTGTAAGTATACCAGAATGCACAAAAAAAAAGGGGGGGGGGGGGGGAGGTGATCACCGCTAGTAAAAGAGGAACAGCATTCATGCGTACAAGCAAATTTTAAATATATTTCATTTAGCTTTGCATTCCAGCTTTATTTATTGCGAAAAGTGTAGGTGTACGTAATAATTATCGGCTGGCTAATGGTAAAAAAAAAAAAAAAAATACATGGTGAGAATGGTAAACATAGCTAGGTCGCAAGTAGCTGAATTATACACTTGAAACAATGCTTATTTCATCGAGCAATTGATGACTGTAACACTCATCCTGCCACATATTTATTTTTCCCTGTTTGTCTTAGTACACTATTTTTCTTAAGGTGACCGTCGCAAAATCCACATCACTTGATGCTCTTTATTTTTACACTTGTGTATTACTTATGAAGCATCTAAGCCCAATTGTCGCGCTAAGCCTTTCGTGTTTTGAAATGATCAGCATGCATGTAAGTTCATGTTTTGACGACGTTAGAGTTAGTAATCCCATTTTATTAATCATAGCAGATGTTAATCAAAGTAACTATATTTAGTTATGGTTTATTGTTCATGTTGACTGAACGTCGGTAAAACATAAAGGTCTAACAGTCAACTCTTAGTATATGTAACCAAACATAAGTAATATTGCAATTACAGCATATGATTTACCCAATTAAGAATGGCAGGTAAATTTATTGATAAAAGTGGTTCTTTGTTGCTGCTGCTGTTTTTTCTGAGTGAGCGTTATGCAACCAAGATACCATGTTAAATGTAGCTATTTATTCCAAGGGTGCCCAATGCCAAGCACAGCAATGTAACTATATTTAATTATGGTCAAGTGTACTGATACAACCTTTGTGTTGTACCAGTTGGTACAACTCAAAGGCCTAACAGTCAACTTTCCAAGCAGTGCATGCAACTATACATTAAGCAATATCACACTTTCAGCGTATGATTTACCAAATAAAGAAGAATCGTTCTTTGTTTCTGCTGTTCTTCTGAGTGTGCCTTCAGGCAACCAAGACACCATATTATAGTATGCAGTTATTTCTTTTCAGGAGTATCTGAGGCCAGATATAGTAAATCACAGTAACTGTATGTAATGATTGTCTATTGTTCATATCTACTGGCAATCGGTACAACCTATAGGTATACAGTAAACTTTACAAGCAGTTCATGTGACTAAACGTAAGTAATATGATGTACCACTTGCATCGTATGATTTCCAAACTGAAGACTGGTAGCTAAATTTATCGAGAAGAGTCGTTTTTTGTTGCTGTTTGTTTTTAATTGAGAGTTCAGGCAACCAGTAAATTATATTACATGCATGTAGCTTATTATTATTTTTTTTTTTTACAATGAATATTTGCCTCCATAACACGAAGTCCAAGGCTCCCTTCAAGTATAGATCACACGACACCAAGACGCTTCTCCGCCTTTCCCTTTCGTGCGGCCACAGATCTTTTGGTCGAGTCGCAGCCTTCGATAAAGTATTTCTGCGATATATGATCATGTGATCAAGACGAACGACATCATTCGAGCACTCCGTTTAGTTGACGGCGTTCCTTCATTCTTTCCGCCTCTCGATGAAGTACCTGACCGTCCACACGGTCGCCATAGTAAGGTTAGTCGCTGTCAGGATGTGAAGAAATCCGTCGTATGTTCCCAGGAGATCCCTGAAGTAGCCTGCGAGATAGAACCACGTATTCAAGAAGGCCAATGCTTACATTCAACAACCGCTCCGGCCGTATGCAAAAACAAATATGCCTGGTTCAGACATGGGGGCAAAGTTCGCGTAATTTTATTTGAGCCCTTCAAAATTTTGAACGGAAATGGTAAACCTCTTAAAGGGATGGTGAACCGAAATTTGGATTTCAAAAAAACAATGCTGGAGATGTAGGCGGGACGCTACAATCCCTACAACACTACTAGTAAGGCGATATCTCAAATGGACGGCCGTATTTTTGGAAAAAGAAGTCGAGATTGAACCAGGCCGACGAGGCGCGTGACCGTCAAGATACCTAGTTTCCTCTCCTCTTCGCTTCGCTCCCCCAAGGCCGTTCCCTCTACTTCTCGGAAAAATATGACGTCAACATTCCTGCCAAATGCGCCTTAAAAAAAAAAAAAAAAAATACGGTCATCCATTCGAGCTATCGCTGTATGAGTGATGTTTTGGTGTTTGTAGTATCCCGTTGCATGCTTTTATTGCGTGTTTTTGTCAGTGCGTGCGGCACTAAGAAAAGGATGACCCTTATAGTCCGCGCTAGTAACTCTACTTTTAAAGAATTATACTACGTGCTGAAAATTTATACTTGAAATCTAACATATCCGGCGAGAAAAAACTAGCAGGGTATATAAAGCTGAATGTGCTAGACTTATGTCAGATTGTTTCCGTTTTAACTATGACGCCTAGATCGTGCGTTCGACTGGTTGATTGAAGGATTGATTGACATAATTTACTTTTACACAGGTGTCAAGGCGGTTGGTGGTACCAACAATTAATGCAGTGCTCAGGCGACCGCATCGAAAGTGGTCCCAAAGTGAACCACTTTCGACAGGAGTCGGCGTGTGTCGTAGGTTGCTATCCTGGCGGTTCGTTGTAGAAGATTTCGGGCAGAAAGTACAAGCGAACGCAAGTGTCGCTGTCCTGCAGTAGCGTTTCAGCTCGTGACTGCTGAAGTAGTTTCCTTTGACTGTAAAGTTAAACAGCGACCTACCGCAGAGCAAATATCTGTCATATAAACCTGCACTACTGTTTCACCTCCAGGACCGCTGCAAGCAACAGCACGACACTTCTATAAGGTTATCAGGCGGAACTCAATAGACAAAAAGATGCGTTCCAGGCACCATAAAGTTTTGACAATATCTTCATGACGTAAACGTATCGTTTATTTTCTTTTTCTTTTGCGGCCAACCTCTTAAACAGCATAATTACTTAGCTAGCTCAATAACACTGGATATATTTTAAAAATCATTATTTGGATTCTATGCTTAGGGATTTCAGTGCGATTCCAACCCCCCGCCCCCCTCCCCAGTTTAGGTTTGCGATTCTATTCTTCTCCAACTCTTCAATCTTCAAACGCGTAAAGAATTAACGAGTGTAGGCTTTTCCCTTATGTTACTATATTTTGTTTAATCGTTTGGTTGATAGCTACGTCAAGCCTTTTTTCGCGCGCTTCGTTTCCTTGAACAACCAGAGGTTAGCGGTGGTACGCGCTACCTAGATTGCTAATCTACTGCTTAAACCACTGCCACCTATCTCAAACGTAGACAAACTGTTCGCTCGCTATCTCAACAAGCAACGTGTAATTGTTTTATTATTTTCTGACGTCTCTCCATAAAGGTGGCGCACAGCAGGGGTGCGAGAAGAGAGGGCCCGAAACAACCGGGATTGCGGGTGCCTGTGACGTGAAGAAGCGTTTCTGGAAGAGGTTCACAAATGTTCATTGGTAAGGCAATCTCATAGGTCTTCTTTTATAATATATTAAACTCAACCTTTTTTTTTGTAAACAGCTCATGTCATGTGGAACGTAATGATTGATCCTAAAGGGAACAAAGAACTTAATATTTGGTACAGGTAGTACTTTAAGATTAACTTTGTATTACTACAAAGTCAGGATGAGCGGGAAGGTTATACGACATATACATTTAGGAACAGGAAAATAAATAAGAACAGAACGGCAAACACGACTCCCAACGATTGGTAGTGGTGTCTGTTCGCTCGGTCCTTTTTTCTTATCTCCCTAAACGCATGTGTTGTATCGCTAATTCGCTTTTTTTTTTAATGTTCCTTACGAGTGACATTTAATACCCTTGTTACAGAAAATTCTAAACATTTTCGACTCGCATAGTTAGGTCATAATATTTTGTTGGAACGAAGACATTAATACTATAGAATACGTATCTTACGGTCAAAGTCTGAAAAATGTTGCTCCAACCAAAACTGGAAAGGGAGCCCTACGTTTCGAAACCAACTCGGTTTCTTCTTCAAGGTTTCTGTGAAGACGAAGAGGTTAGGAGCTGCTGCTGCTCCGTGTGCTTTCAGTCACCATTAGGAAGAAACCGAGGTGGTTTCGAAACGCCGGGTTTCCTTTCGAGTTTTGGTTGCAGCTACAAATTTTGGACTATAATTCTCACCCAACCTGGCATATTTCTGCCGAATATGTTTACCTTCAAATCTTACGGTCAATTTTCTATGATCCCCTTTCATTGTAGTTTTCTGCAATCAAATGTCTTTAGTTTTGCAGATATATACATATGTATAAAGTTCAAGCGAATGACGTGCAGCGTGTCCTGAAATTCCGTATAATGTAGTTAGCGTCAGAAAATGTAGCTATCCGCCGCTTCTTTCATACAACTGTTGAATCTCTATTTATTTCTTGTTATATGAGCTGTTTGCTCAATGTAAGCTTTTCATCTGTTTTTTTTTTTTTTTGTTTTTGCACTTTGCTGACTTTATTACCAGCTACTTTCCTGACCTCATTATACGAAGTTATTATATCTGTGCTAATGTCCAGAGACCGAGCATGCATGAAAGCCGAAAAACCTGATTTCTAAAAATGGAACTGTCCAGGAGATAAAAAAAAATACATTGTTGTACTCACCTACCAGCGGTGGCCTCAGCATGGTGAACACACCAGCGACGAATGTCATGGTCCCCAGCATGACGGGAAGTGCCTCGACGCCAAAGTGGCGCACCAGGTCGATGGTACTCAGACAAATCCTGGAGCCCGTGCTCAGTCCCAGGAGCAAAGAGCAGGCCAGAAGCGACCACAACTCGGTCGCCCACACCATTGACTGGAAGGCCACACCTTGAAAGAACATACCCAGCGCCATCACCGTCTGTAGCCTGAGATATCCCGAGTCCACCACGAATCCGCTCAGCGTCCTCGTGAGGCAATCTCCTATGGTGAACGTGTGGAAGAGGAACACTGAAAGTGACGGGGCGATCTTTCGGTCAGAGGCTAGGTCCACAGCCACCATCATGAACGTTACGAGGTCGAAGTACACCATGGAGTAACTGATGGCGTTCACCCAGAAGTCACACGTCAGTACGTTGTTCACGGTGGCTTTGAAACCGAGCCCTTCGTATTCAGTCCTAGGCACCAATGGCGTGTTTCCGTCCTTGAGGTATGCGACGGAAATGGATTCCACCGAGAGTTCGCTGGTAATAGACGTCCCAGAAGAAGCGACTTTACCGGAGGACTGGATGGTCCCAGACACAACACTTTCCTCGGCGTTGGCAGTCTTCGTGGGGCTGTGTAAAACTAGGGTTCCCGGAAAGCCGTTCAGGATCAGCGCTCCCAGCAAAAGGAACGCCACTCTTGTGCTGTAGTAGGAGCGGAAGAACTCTACAAGTGGAGGCACGACGAACGCATTCAGACAGGCTGCGGTGTACATTAGTCCACAGGCAGTTGCACGTCTTTTCTCGAAGTGCTGAATTACGAGCACATTTACACCAATGAGAACGCCAGCCAGGCTGCATCCTGCATGCACGAAAGAATATGTGTAAAGGTGTGTCGCATGCAAAATTGAATGGCATGAATACAGGGGGTGATGAAAAATCAGGACACCAAAATAATTGTAAGCGACATATTGCCCTAACGTAAAAATTGCATTTATGTGGGGAACATGTATTCAGCGGTTCTAATATATTTATAGCCCTTATTTTGTGAAAAAGGAACGACAAATATAATAATTTACGCGTCTGTGTTTTAACCTTTAAATATAACACCTTCATATGTACGGTATTAAGAGAAATAAGATTTGACTTTAACTAAATGTAAAGAAAACAATCTAGTCCCACACAATCCGAACACTTTCACTGTCACTTGTTCAGTGCAGGATAGCATCTAATTGCTGGTCTGTCTGTATTACCTTAGCGCTGTCAAGAACAAGCTTTCCTCATTTCCATTCAATCAAACTGATCCTGCTGTCTTTGTCCTTTCTTTTTGTGCTCCGAAAGCGAGTAAATGGTACTTGCCGTGCACCACGCCGAAGAACACGACCAGAAAGACCACATCTTTAGCGAAGTAGCAGACAAGGACACCGATGCCGCAGAAGAAGGAAGAGACGAGAAGCACTTTTCTGCAAGAGAACCGCCGACACAGGTAGCCGCACAAGGGGCCTGCGCACACGCCAGAGCATCCCACCGCCAATCTGTCAAAGCTGTCTTGACCCAGTTTTTGAAACTTGCACTTGCTATGAAAACTAAAACTTTTCCGTATCTTTGTGTGCCAACTCATACGGCTGCTCGTCGATTAAAAATTATAACCCTATTAATCGCCACACTGTAATAGAATAATTAATCGATTAATCGGTCTCCTTCATTTCCAAACATACTATCTTTAAAAGTTCAAAATTACTTTTCTTTTTAATGAACATGTGATAAACGCAAGAGGCATGAAAACCTGTCTTGTCTCAGTCGGTCCTGCTCTGTTCAAGTGCGTGAATGGGCCTTAAAGCTAGCTGCCTTTATCTCCACTCACTTGTCGAACCCGTTCGAATGCGAGCGCCAAACGCTGGACGCCGGCGTTCCGCGTTCTAACGCATTCGACAAGTGGAGTGAAAACAAAGGCTGCTAGCTTTAGGTCTACCCACTAATCATTCCATCCAGAGCTTGGCGTTCCGACATCCGCGCGAGCTCTTGTCTCCTCCTCTCCCTCAATTTCTCGGAGCATAAAGTTACAGAGTCATAGATTAGGAACAATGGCTAACATACGACTGCATCGAGAGCAGCACAACCTGATGACCAAGACTATACTCGCGGTCAGCTATCTGTGGCAATGCAGTCAATGCTAGGGGAGAGGGTGCACCAACCGCCGTACACGCGCTTTCCACCTCTCTTGAAATTTCCACGGACAGCTGACCGCGAGTATAGTAGCTGGGAAAATATCCCCGAAACGCACGTCACGGTGGAGTCACTAATACTGATGCCAACCGAAGTTGTCTTGCTCACCCACGAAGCTGCTGACGGCGTCCGCAACAGTGAAGGGCCAGGAAGCGTCGTTTCTAGTCACGCCGAAAGTCTCGATGACGCCGTAGAAGAGAGTCCCGAACGCCTTCAGGCTTAGGGTGTCCATGAAGAGGACCCAGCTGCAGAAGCCCATGGTAATCCAGCTCCAGCGAGAGTCCACCCCGAAGGCCGGGACACCCCCGGCACCAGCCATCGGTGACGGTCGTCCCGTCGTCGCACTCTTCGAAACACTAGTTCCTGCCAACGGACGATAGCGCTTTGCTGTACCTGGACGAACGCCTCGCACGTACCACAAGGTTTGCCGGGATATCGTCATAGGGACAGAATCGGAACTGTAGCTGCCCGAACGTTGACTGCGTTTGGCAATGTTTGCTCGTTTTGTGCAGGGCAGCGACAGCCACACTGCGTCAAAAAACAAACGCCGACAACAAGGAAACTATAGTCGGTGACAAGTAAAAAAAAATAAACAAATAGTAGATGCTCCGCCTTCAGCACGTGCACGTTGGCTTCCGCTGGGCATCGCCTGCCCGTGAGACGAATTCTTATCAAAGGCAGAAAGCTCGCGCTCGAGGTCGAGCATCTACTGGGTTCTTGACTTGTCACCGACTTTAGTATAGATTTTGAAGCCGTCTTGGCGGCTCCGAAGGCGACTTTCTTCGTGAATTGAACCTGTTTATATATATATATATATATATATATATATATATATATATATATATATATATATATATATATATATATATATATATACATGGCTTTACTTTTATTCAGAAACTTGTAGGAAATCCGAAGCGAACACAATTCATTTCTGCTTACAGAATTTAGGCATCCATTTGACCTCTCCAATCTCGAATGATTCCATTGTTTAGGTCATCCAAACGAAAACAAAAAGCGTCCAATAATTGTGAAGTTCTGCATTTTAAAAATGATGAATGAATTTTATCGTCCGGTCGTAAACTGAAAAACACAACTTTCGCGGTTCGAGAGAATTACATTCCGATTCGGTTCGCTCAGCTCGTGGGAAGCTATTTCAATTTGCGCCGCAGCGACTCCGCTTTGACATGGTTTTCCTCAATAATAGGCATTATATCTACGATGCTATAAGTGACTGCGTAAAATATCTTAATGCATGACTAAAAAGAAAAAGGAAGCCCGCAACCCGCCTTTAGCCTGCCCTGTTAGCAAACTGAGAAATATCAGTGTCAATTAGTTACTTTTACAAACGTTCTAAGTTTCTTACAAGAAAAAGAGAGAGATGCATGCGCAAAGGCATTCTTAACCATTCTGAACGATAGTAACTTTTATATTACTATATATGTGGATACTTGGTTAAAGTCGGACGTTATTGTTCGACAGTTCAAACGTTGGCTATGAAGTGGGGTGGAGCGTTTTAATAACTTGGAGGCAATATGAGAGCTGTGCCTTTGTAGAAGACCAAAGCAAATCGAAATATGCAAGACAGGCACATAATACTCACATAATTGAATAGATTGCAGCAATAACGCTTTAGAAGATGTAAAAAAATACATCTATTTATTCTTATAGGTTCAAGGGTGATTATCATTAGTACGCCATATAGCAACGGTAAAACTGCTGACTATTCTTTTTATCTGGGTCAATCTTGAATTTTGTGGATTATCAATCACAACATACGAGTTTGATGTCCAATTGGGCAGTTTGGCTTGCACCTTCAAGGAGCTAGACACCATCATGAACCAAGTGAAGAAACGAAAACTCTCGAAACAAAGACTCAACGTCAAAGCAGTCAGCACAACTTGGCTTATGGTTGATAACACGAGTAAATCCCCTCAAGAGTACAACCGTGGTCGAACGTCAGCTAAGGATAGAATAATCCAATCACTATCCAAGTTGAAAAGGCGTCAGTATACAGTAGAGCGAACAGGTTTTATCAGCTGCCACCAGTCTGGTGGCAGCTGATAAAACCTGTTTGCTCTACTGGCGTCTAGCCCCTGGTTAGCTCAGTTGGTAGAGCGCTCCACTGGAAATGGAGAGGTCCCGGGTTCGATACCCGGACCAGTCGGATTTTTTCGGTCGCGCACCATCACCTAGTTTTGTTTGGAGATTTGTGTTTGTTTTTTGGCCCTCTTGTCCCCGTCCTCCAGGGATTATTTTCGTCACGACAGTTGTGTTGAGTTCGTAGCGATTGAGTACGTAGCAGTTAACGAAGACAGATATCCCGGCCTCAGCACTCGGGCGCGTTTAAATCGTGTTATCGTCGACATATCGCTGCACGGACACGAACCCGAGACAAGCGGTAGCGGAAAGGGCGCCTGTGTTTGTTATTGTGCTCCGAACTGCCCCGAACCATGCCGAGCTCTCTGATTGGTTGTTCATGCTGCCGAAGACGCCGTCGCCATAGCAACAGCCCGCTCTCGCGGGGATCGAGAGCACCGGAAGTTCTTGTTTTTTCGTACGAGAGCGTCGCTTTCCTCCTCTCACCGAAGAACGCGTTCGTGAATACCGATTTCTCTTCTTCTTGCGGTTTTCTTAACTTACGATCATCTTAGCTAAGTTGTAGAAACTTAAGAAGCTCTTCGTGAATCTGGCCTCAGATGAATATATTTCATGGACGCCATATTGAGGTGACTACTCAGAGCGCATGCTCAGGAGGAGTTTCTCGCTAGCTCTCTGGCAACCACAAGAGAAGAGGGGAAGGAGAAAACCTCTTTTCACCGGGGCTCTCCTTTGTGTTTCTCAGACTTCCCTAGATGTCGCTATTCTCCTTATAGAAGATTATAGAAGATAAACACCTCACTCAAAACTCGTACAAAAACATATTTCCCCCTCTCCGTGTATACTCATAACATTATCATGTTCACTATACGCGGCACCGCGGGCCTCCATGGTACGGGCTGCTGCCTTTCCGTGGTGCCGCGGCTCTCCAGAGCCAAATAAATAACGACTAACGACTAACGATGGGGGGATCGGTGGACGAGTGAACTAGCGCGTCTCAGCTCGGAGCGTGGAGCGAAAGCTTGCGCTACTCAACCTTGAACCTCCTGGGTTCGATCCCCACCCCCTGCACTTTTTGATCTGGAAGAGTTTCGTACTGGCACGTGTTCGTGTAATCACTACTGCGTGGTGCACGTTAAAGACCCCCCGGGTTAGCAGTTGTACTGCACTGACTAAATTTCTCATCTACAACTTATGTGAAATCCCGCAGAGCAAGTTCGGCGGAGTTAGGGGCGCTCCGTGGAGAGGGCGCTGCCAGCGATCTAAGAGCGGAAGATGACCAACTTGAGCCAGATCTGCGAGCGGAATATGCGCGCTCCAAATGGAGCGCTTTTGGAGCGCTTGAGATCTGCGAGCGGAATTTACCATTAGAGAGAGGTTACCCGTTGAGGCGTACTAGTAGCATCAAGGCTGTCTAAACATACAAGCAACACAATTATTTGTTTTTCTTCCTTGGTGTTGCGAAAGCAGGAGAGAGCTCAGCTATGGCCGCCAGTGAATACCACCTATACCCGTTCTGTAACTTCTCCTATTTTGAGTAAGTGGGACAAGGATGTGAGGCACTTATGTGCACAGGAAAAAAAGCGAAACAAGCAAGTCAAGTTTAGGTTTATCTAAAAGAGAAGAAGGTCGTAGGATCAAAGCTCAATGCGGTCTCAAGAGGCTTTGCGATATTCCACCAACGAAGTAGGACAAAACAAACGACATACCCAACCGTCGCTACCGATACTCCTCCATTTCTTTTCCAAACCATTGTTAGTTACAGCCCGACACTACTTAACTAGAATTAAAATCAACGTGCGAAGCGCATAAACACTAACAAATGTACACGGTTGTAAGTAACACTTTGCCAGTAACGACTTTACTGGCAACGTGTTGCGTTTTTCGGTACGTACTAGAAAACTCGTTAAATTCCGAAATTCTTAACAAGTAAACTGCATTTGTTACTACTTTACGGTATTTCTTTTGAAATTACTTTACTCGTTACTTTTGATTAAATTTTGTCAAGTTTTCGGTTCCTGCAAAGGAACAAACGCGTCCTTGCGACCTCGCTGTATCTTTCAAATTTAATTAATACATATATATATATATATATATATATATATATATATATAGGGTCTTTCAGAGAACGCAGGCCAAATCGCTCCTGCGAAAACTACTTATCGCAATGAAAAAAGGCTTGTGGCGTTTTGGTCCTGGGCTAGGGGCCCATTTAGGAAAATTATTAAAATCCGGGATAATTAACTTGTTAAGTATTTTTGCGTAATTAACTTTCTAATGTTGTGTTTAAGGGCATAGTTTAAATTAAAAAATTGCTCAGCATCATCGAAAAACACTAAATCAACAAATTTCAGAACTATAGAAGGCACGCGAAGCATTTTACGGCTTTCTGAAAAACCGCACAAATTCGACCGGTTTTTAAGTTTAGGTTTGCTATCGGAGCGCATCTCGGCCCCGGCGGCACCACGCCCCGTGGAGAGGTAGTGCAACAAACCTCTCCGGCGCTGTCATCGCGCGACGTAGCAGGGTCTGCCACGGAGCGCGGTGCCGCCGGGGCCGAGATGCGCTCGATAGCAAACCGAAACTTCAAAAAAGTTACCACTAAAGTTACCACTCGTGGAGCAGGTACAAGGCTAGCGGTTGCATTAAGGCGCCCGAGCAATTTTTCCGTCTCTTATCTAGCCCCAGCCTTGTACCTGCTCCACGAGTGGTAAGTTCAGCGCACTGTTGCGCTTTTCACGCGCTCAAAGTTTTTCTAGAAACTACTGATTTAGGGGTTTTGGACAACGCTCAACAAGTTTCTAATTGGAATCATATGACTATTTTCACTAATTAAAAAGTTAATTAACAAATTTTAATAAAGTCGCCGACTGATTTCAAAGATTAGCCACCCGATAATGTCCCCTCGGGCGTATAACTCACTCGCACAAACCGCATAAGTATAGTTTTTATGTTTTCTTTTTTACAAATCTGTAAGAATAAAAAAAACACCCTGTATATAAAAATAAAGTCACTCTGATAACTGCTGAGTTCTTGACAGAGCTCGCATTTGCTTTTTATCGCTGACCAATATTAATACAAAAATCCAAACTAGCAAAAAACTAACCGAAAAGCAGGCTTGTACGTAGTTCAACTATTCTACTCAAGTTACTGTAGTTTAACTACTTTTCTGAGTGGTTTAGTAACTTGCAATTACATTTTTATTTCTGTAATTAGTAGTTTACTTTAATTACTTTTTTTAGTAGCTTCTCCTCAAGT